GAGGGAGGATAGGGGAGGCCCATCGAGAGGGCAGAGAATACCCACACAACACTACTATAGATATAGATAGATGAGCTAGATAGATAGAAGATAGATAGATTTAGATTTCAGATAGCATAGATAGGTAAGGTACGGTTAGATAGATAGTTAGATAGATAGTTAGGATAGATAGATAGATAGATAGATAGGATTAGTGTCACTAGATAGTAGATAGCTTTAGAGGAATATAAAGAGAGAGGGGGACGCATTAAAGAAAAAAAGGGGTCAGAACAAACATAAAACGATATCGACAGTAGTATTCAAACTGCCTATACACATACACACCCTTCCTAACCACATACCCCCTATACTATATATATACTAACACTACCAAATATAATATACTATATAATAGTATATATATTTATATATATATATACTATATCATATACTATAATATATATTATCATATATATATAATATCCTAATTTTTTTTAATATATATTATATACTAGTATTATATAATATATACATCACTTATATATATATATTATATATAATAATAATATACTATATATATATATAGATATATATATACGATATATATATATAGTGGAGAGAACCGAGAGAGAGGAGACGAAGAGAGAGAGAGAGAGAGAGGAGAGAGAGAGAGAGAGAGAGAGAGAGAGAGAGAGAGAGAGAGAGTAGAGAGAGAAAAGAGATAGAGAGATGAGATAGAAGAGGATAGTATAGATAGATAGATAGATAGATAGAAAGAGAGAGAATAGAGAGAAAGTTAATTGAGGTAGAGGGAATTTCATTCTCTACTCACAGACTGAAAAATACTCTAATGAAATCTTCCCACTTGAAGCGCAACAACACAAAACGACCGGAGAAAAAAAATGAACAGAGGAAAAAGAGAGAGAATCCTAAAAGGAAAAGAGAAAAATATAAAAAAGACAAAAAAGAAAGAAAGAAAGAAAAAAACGTAGAAAAGAGAAAAATAAAAGGGGGAGGAAAGAACTCGAGGCGGATCCCGATGCCAAATGCAATTAAGTGTAAAAAGGGATAAAGGCGGAGGGAGGGAAGAGGAGAAATGGAGAAGAGAGGGAAGGAGAGGAAATGGAGAAAGGAAGAAAGGAGAAAAGGAGAGAAGGTAGAGAGAAGGAGGGATGAAGGGAGAAATGGAGAAAGAGAGGGAGAGGAGAGGGAAATGGAGAAGGAGAAAGGAGAAAAGGAGAGAAGGTAGAGAGAAGGAGGGGAGAAGGGAGAAATGGAGAAAGAGAGGGAGCGAGAGGGAAATGGAGAAGGAGAAAGGGAGAAAAGGAGAGAAGGTATAGAAACAGAGGAGGAGAAAAGAGAAATGGAGAAAGAGAGGGAGAGGAAAGGGAAATGGTGAAGGATGAAAGGAGAAAAGGAAAGAAGGCAGAGAGAAAGAGGGGGAATGGAGAGAAATGGGAGAAAGAGAGGGGGGAGAGGAAATGGAGAAGGAGAAAGGAGAAAAGGAAAAGAAGGCAGAGAGAAAAGAAGGAGACGGAAAAGAGAAAATGGAGAAAAGGGAGAGGAGGGAGAAAGAAAGAGGGGGCGAGACGAAGAGAGGCAGGAGAGGAGGGGAGGAGGAGAAAGGGAGGGGCGAGAGGAAGAAGAGAGATGAGAGAGAGGAGAGAGGGGAGAGAGAGTGGATAGATGGAGGCAGAGAGAGATAGTGAGAGCATGATAGAGAGAGAGAGAGAGAGAGAGACTGGGAAAGAAAGAGGAAGAAAGTACATAGGCAAACAGACATACCTCGTTCATACAAACATTATATGGACAGATAGACAGATAGGTAGAGAGAAAGATAGTTATAGAGAGAAAGAAAGGGACAAATAGAGATGAGAAAAGGAGAGAGAGAGAAGGTGAGAATAAGCAGTCTGATAACAGGTTCGTTAAAATGACAGCACATCATTATGGCAACGCTGACAGGTTATAAGCACGAGAAATATTTCCAACAGGACATGGAGGATCTCGAATAAAAAAGAAGAAGAAAACGAAAGAAGAGAGAAAGGAGGAAAGGTGAGAGAAAGAAGAGATTTGAGAAAGAGAAGAAGACGAGAGAGAGCGAGAGAGAGGAGAGGACGAGAGCGAGGAGAGAGAGAGAGGAGAGAGAGAGAGAGAGAGAGAGAGAGAGAGAGAGAGAGAGAGAGAGAGAGACGAGAGAGAGAGAGGAGAGAGAGAAAAAAGAGAGCGAAAGCGAGATAGATAGATAGATAGATAGATAGAGAGAAAGCAAGCAATTCTTCATTTTTTTCCTTTTACGTGCCAATCTTACAGTCGTTGAGAACCATTCCTCTCCATACTTCTTTATTTTTCATATTTTAGATCACTTCAGCTGGTTTCTCTCACGCCTATTTCTTCCTGTTTCTCTCACGCCCATTCTTCATGCCTCGATAATTCTTCACGCTGTCTTCACTCTAGTTTCTCATCGATTCTTGCTACTGCTTTAAGTGTTCTTATCTTTTTCGTTCTTATTATTACGGGCTTGTGAGAGCTTACCTGAGGTTATTACATTTTTTTAAAGACTTGTCCTTTTTAGCGCGTTTTTCATTGGTTTACTACTTTTGAGCATGGTATTGTGTTTTCATTTTATTCGTGATACACTAAACCTCTGCTGCCTTTTATAATATCTAAGGCTATTCTATTGACTGT